TGAACAGATATAGCACAGTTTGTGGTGTTTATGAAGACGAAGGTGTGGTATACCCACCAACATTCTCAAAAGATAACATCTATCATAATCCCTGCTCTACAACAGCAACATATCCACTTCGTGGTACCAACATTTCACTATTGCAGCGGCGTTCAAAAGCTGAAGAGGAAGGAACATCACATGTTGTTCTTTTGGCTGAAGAATGCACACAAACAAGGAAAACCATTTCCAAACAGCCCATAGTATATACTAATGTACCCCCATCCTGTTTTAGCAAGATGGGTAATTATGTGCCTCAATTAAAATTACCTTTCACCCAGGATGTAGATAGTGTTAAACACAATGCCTGTCCATGAGTAAAACTGGTCATATCACATGAAGGAAGTATTGGGAAAATAAGACAAACATAGCCTCCAAAAACAATTGCCCATATGCCAATGTTCTAGAATGTGCACACTCTGTTGCTATGATACAGCATTCAATTAATGTGGTACAAAAAGGGTATTGAGCATTTGAATCCTGGTCAGATGCATGTGCTTGCCTTGGATGAACCACTATACACAATTGCTAAAACAATCCAGTGGAACTGTCCTGAATTATGTGATAAACTTCCTTATCATGTTTGGTAGATTTGCATATAAAAATAGTTGCTTTCAGGATTCTCAGAAACTGTCCCGAAGGAAGTAGATGGAAAACTGCAATTTGTGCTGCTGGAATTGCCTGTCAGATTCCTTCATCAAGTGTACCCATCTTACTACAACATCAGACGTATGTACGATATAAGGAAACAGAAGCGAACACAGACGATCCTTTCAGAAACTGGTGTGCACCGAAGTAAGCTGCTCAGCCCATTTCACTACTGACCCCTTGTTCTTGAACAAGTACTTTGTATATTGTGCCTGGTGGGCGCAATTCTAAAAGCAGATTTCCCAAAGTTTGCAGCATCACTTGTCATATTAATGGCTTGCGTTTCACAGATATGTCTATCTTACAGTAGAGCACGAGCACCGCTGTACCTCGAATATTGTTCCCGTGGATTCGTGACACACTAAACTAAAGACTAAACGGACATTCTCTTGTGTGGCACAAGGTCAGACACATGAACAATTCAATAGCCGTATGAAAGGAGATGGAGGTGCAGTTGGATTGACTGAAACAGCCGAGAGTTTTCTTCTAGAGGCCCACGGAATTCAAAGACATTGTCACTATTTCCTGCCATCACCGGTTCATATGATTGGGACTCGTGTCAAGTATTTCCTGAAGTCACCAATGCTTTGCCATCATCAGCAGATATCTCTGACAATACAATGCAGATTCTTGAGCGGTTTGTCGTTCTCACTGGTTTCTTTGGAAGGTCAATGATGGCAAAATCTCTGTTCATGAAGATCTCAGACAATTGACATTTCAACCCAAAGAGGCAGCTCTGAGACAGCACCAATGCATATTTGGGGATAGGTGCTTGACAAACGTCCCACACTACAGAATCTTGTAGTCAGGGGTTGGGAGAGGACATGCAGTAAAATATGGATACCAAAATGGACAACACTTGGTCAGGCACAAAGAAGTGTTATAAACTCACACTACACCTGTAAGAAACCGTGCACACCTTAGTAAACTTTACACTGCCTGCCTGTACAGTGCTATGTGATACTTGGAAGGAAAGAGTTCACTGTAAGTGAGTTATAGAACCGTAAACACATGCATTGAACCGATATTCCTGGTCCTACTTAAGTAGTAAGTAAGTCAATGCCATAGGTTCATGGCAATAATGTCAATAATACCATTACATACATTCTTGTTTTTAAGATATGAATCCATTCCCAGATGAATGATTTTGGGATTATCTAATATAAACTGAGTGGAACCTTTCTCAGTAGACCATTTATAAATTAATATGCCGAGAATAGATCATAGACAATACATATTAACTGATACAATGTCATTTAAAATAATTCATCATATCAAAACTTATCAACTTATCCTTAGTCCAAAGATATCAAATGATATCTATATCTGCTGTAGAAATAGACAATATCTGAAAACTAAAACATATTGGAGGCCATCTTGGATTTTCGTCATCACGAGGGGGCGCTGCATACCAGATTTGAATTATATACAGGATTGTTGTGATTACTCCTAAATACATTACAATGATAATTTGTATAAATTGGCCAGATAACTATGATGTGTTGAGTACAGATTGATATCATTAGAGATTTCAGCCATGCTGGCGGCCATCTTGGATTTTCTACCACCAGGGGGCGCTGCAAACTATATTTGAATTATAAACAGCTCTGCTGCAATTCATTCCGCATGCATTAGTATGGATATATGTATAAATGGATCAGATAAGTATGATATATTGAGTATATATTGATACCATTAGAGAGTTCAGCCATGTTGGCGGCCATCTTGGATTTTCTACCACCAGGGGGCTCTGCTGCGGTGGATCCATATCCAAAAATGTTTTGAATGGTACAATGTATAAGTGTGCCAAGTTTGGTGCTTTTTACCCAAAGTGCACAATTTTAGCCTTAACCGCCCCACTATAAGGGGAACGTTTCGCCGACGCATGCGTTACTCAAAGTGGTCAGTTTCTGGGTGGAAGTGTAATGTTATGAGGTGGCATCACAACTCATGGGAGAACACAACCCATCATTGTTAATGACAATTGGAATGGCGTAGGCTACCAGGACATATTCTACCCTGTGTGCAAATGCAGGGCCGTAGCGTCACGTTGCAGCAGGATAATTCCTGCCCACAAGTTTCACGTGTTTTAACAGACGTTTGGAGGCTGCAGAACATTGCTGCATTGCCATGGCCGGTGGCTTCTGCAGACCTCTCCCACATAAAACATCTCTGGGTAGAGATAAAGCAACGCCTACGACAGGACCAGAACCACCCGGTACGTTTGTGTTTGTTGTTTAACGCCGCGCTCAGCAATATTCCATCTCTATGACGGCGGTCTGTAAATAATAGACCAGACAATCCAGTGAATGACATCATGAGCATCGATCAACGCAATTGGGATACGATGACATCCATCAACCAAGTCAGCGAGCATGACCACCCGATCCCGTTAGTCGCCTTTTACGGCAAGCATGGGTTGCTGGAGATCTATTTTACCCCGGATCTTCACGGGTCCAGCCGGTATGTATGTATGTATGTATGTATGTATGTATGTATGTATGTTTGTGTGTGTGTGTGTGTGTGTGTGTGTGTGTGTGTGCGTGTGCGTGCGTACGTGCGTGCGTACGTGCGTGCGTGCGTGAGTGTGCGTGCGTATTTATTTATAACTCGCCAATGCAATTTTGGAATAATCAATTTTTTCTCTATGATGACAGCTTGTCTTATTATATTTTCCTTGTATTTGTGTCCATTGAAACAGTTAAAATGTATTTACTTGCAGTTTGGTTTAACAAATCAATAGCATTTCCAGGACATGTGTATTGTCTCAAGTGATTATACAGATTGTTTTAGTTATTTTACAAATTGATTTAGACATTGATTATAACATATACATGCCAATATGCCATCTTACCCCTGTGTGCCGATTTTGCAAAGTAATGTTAATAAGTCACTTCAACTCACTTGTACATTGTACGACACACATGTACACGAGGAAACATTCAACTTCTCGCGTTTGTATGAGTCAGCATGCCGCTTCTATATGACATTTGATGTTTTAGATTTGTATGACTGTTGTTTAAAGATATTTATAGAATTAGGAATCGCTAAGCCAACGAAAAGGAATCAAACACAAAATGACCTATAAGTGTTTCCCCTAAAGCTAACGGATTATCACCAACCATACTTCAAGTCGGCCGAATTTGGTCACATGACTGTTTGACGTCAGAGCAGCGATGTTTGTCTATTTGGAGAACGCAATGTTTATGCAATGGTAAACAATTCGTGTCTCGTGATACTTTTATTTTAATAGTCCTGTGAAAGAAGATAAAATTCTCAAAAATAAACAATACTTGATGAAACCGTGGAAGTGTTCTGGAATTTTTTCGGATGTCACATTTCCCTCACTCAATCAGCTGGTGCAGGGTGATACGACGAAAAGCTATTTTCCTTACGACTAGTTCTGAGACTGAATTAATAATTGGAGTTCTCCCGGAAGGGATTGTAACTATAACTATAACAGTTAAACTGTGAACGAGGTCAGTTTTCATACAACACAATTTGCAAATATAATTGCATCAAATATTTGGGTAAACGATGATTACTTCTATTAGTGGTTTGAACTGATAAAATGACATAAACATCTGTAGCGATTTGATGTTTACCCACATTTTTATTTTCCAAATAGTGGGGTTGGTAACGTGGAAAACGAATATGATCACATAATCATCACGATTGTAAAGATATTTGTCTTCACACAAACATAAGTTGAAGTACTCCAAATGATGTTGAATATTGCTATTATTGAAAAGGCAGTTTTCATTTTTGTTTTATTATTATATTTTTTGGTTGTGTGTGTATGTGTGTGTGTGTTGGGGTAGGGGGCTTTGTGTAATGTTCTCCTTTGAATACATTCGCAGATTTAGATTGACATAAACAAACACAAATCTTGTTTATAAATATTTGGAATCTTATCTGGACACGTATTATTTTAATTCAGTAAAACTTATTTGTTTACTCATCATTATATCCTTTGTTTCAGGTGAGTATTTATACATTTTTATAATTAGCGTGTGTTATAATGTGAATTTGGGATGTATGAACTTGAAAAATGTATTTACGAAATATATTTCATTTCAAGTTAACAAAGGAATGATGAAAACAGATTGGTAGTTGATATTTTTTATAGATTTGTCTGTATTATTTAGGGCGAGATATGCAATATTCAGTGAATCACATGAAACGTGTTTTGTCTCAAATCGTTCAAGTAGATCCATTAAAGCATATCAGACACGAAACAACTGAGACCGCTAGAAAATAGAGCAGTATTAGCAGTCGTCAGTTATCAGTAGCTGTCATTCGCGAAACCTTACTTGGATTCTCAACTGTAATGGCGATTCAAGGCTGTTATCATCACGTTTTATGTTCTAGGAATTTCACTGTTGTGCGACTCTCCTGACAATTCTGATGGATATGCCATCAAACTTTATTTGTTATTTTAACTAACTGTTTTAAAGTTTGGTTCCACTGGATAGTGAACGGTTATTTCTCAAGGTCTCAACATGTAGGCCATCATCGTCGTCTGAAAGCTGCGTTCCCTGTTTCACGAATTTGTGGAACTGTTGTGATCGACAGTATTTCATTCTGGCTCAATTGTTGACAACTTGTTTTTAAAACAAACAAGTCCGAAATGTCTGGTCATCAAAGGTGAGATATAATCATAAATACAGTGAATTTATTTGTATCACAAAACCTTTTTGTTGCGCATGCACTGAAAATCAGCATTACGACTTCGGGGACAAACTCGGCTACTATTTGTTTGTTTACAATTTCGTTACAACTCAGATCATATAGTCCTTTCTTGTTTTGTTTTTTATATAAACAGATATTTTAAAGAAATGTGGAATATTCACCTTTATTATATATATACATCTATGCATAGTTATGGGATGGGACAATTTTGAATGTAAATCGCATTTTCAATCCCACCAGTGGTCTCAATCCAGGCTCAGGAATCAGACAACTTTGCAGGCATAGAAATGAAAGATGAAAATGGACCGATACAACACCTAATATCATATCTTTCACCCACTAAAGTCAAACTTCAGATGTCGAAAAAAATTACACGCATTGAATCCTTTTCTCAGCTGTCTGTAGAAAATGGCCGCCATATTGTCTCGGAATGTTGTCACTCGGCTGACATACTGAATTCATGCATCAACTTCCCTTGAATTGTTGTGGTACATATCAGTAATTTAAATGAAGTGTGCTCTTTAAGTATCCAAGCTCTCCGTGATTTACATATGCGTTATGAAGACAAGTGTTGTGTGCATTGGTCTGGGCTGAGGTACTGGTGCGGGACACTGACACAAATTGGAGCAAACTAACCTGACCCAATTTTATGAATATATACGTTGGCACTGCTAATTAAACTTACTTTTTGCTCCTTAAAATTGTCATGTTTATCTAAATGTTTTGTATTACAATGTCAATGAATTCTAGGGTTCTATTTGCATCCAATATACAGTCTTTTATTATTAATATTTATTTTGGGGGTTTATTACTCCTTGAAAATGAAATTGAATGGATTAAATTAACAGTTCAATTGTTTAACAGCATGCAAAGCTAGACATATGACAAGGCTTTTGTACAAAGTGTTTGCCTTGATGCTCCTAAAGATGACAGGTAAAGTTTCAGTCCTTTTATGTTTCATGTGACAATTCATGTTTTGGATTTGATGGGTTGGAACTGTGAAGTATTACTCGATTGAATAAGTACTTGAACAGGTGCTTCTTGAATCAACTTGATTAAGAAGCACCTGTTCAAGTACTTATTCCCAATTCACCTTTCTCAAAATTAAGTAACTGCTATTGTCAGTAGACGACAAAACAGTAATATTCTTCAGTATAGAAACAAAACCCTGGTGTTACTCGTTTATTGTCATGTTTATGTATTGTAATAGTGACAGCTTGTGGGACAGAGGTAACTAATGCGCCGATATATGATGTTGATCATTTAAAATTGTAAAACCATTCTGAAGAGGACATTATTGATATGCTCATACAGTAAAAATACTTTATTTGAATTGGCTTGGTTATTTTAGTGATATTTCAAACTTGCTGCTTTTGCATATAATCAAGACTCCCAAAGTTTCATTCATCATGAAAAGACAATGAATCTAACATATTTGAATGTACCGTAACCTTTTAGTGGGAAAAAAACCTTATTTGATGCTTGGCTTACCAATTGTTTCAAGGTAGTAGAACATAATTTCATGGAAACAGCATTGTGGAGGACACTTTTTTTGTAGATGACAAGGTAATAACATGTTAACGTTTTATTTTAGGACATTGTTAATATGAGAATACAGTGAAAATTGCCCTACACTTAATGAATGAACATATACTAATTAAGCAGCTGTTACCTTATACTTTTATTCCTTGTGTACCTGTTATATCATTTCTAGCTTGTACAGGAAGGTCAATGGTGGCCATGGATACGTGATATTGGTGCAGCTTTGTTGATAGAGGTTTTCATTGGTACCCACTGAGCTCTAGATAAGCTACATATTTGTGTAAAGTATACAAATTAATTCACCATAACCCAATCAACAACACTGCATAATAACTCAATGTAGGTTCAGCCTGCTTCTTAACATGTATGTCTTTAATACTTTATAGATCTTTTCTTACTGACCTAATGCAGGCATCATGTATGCATGAGCTCTACTGCAGTGCGTAATGCACTGGATCCCTGGATGTGAAATATCTTGCTTTGGTTATCTGGGTTCGAATAGGTCTTCACCAACCCATAATTGTCGTAAGGGGCTACTATGCTTGTTGTAAGAGACGACTAACATGATCAGGTGGTCAGACTCGCTGACTTGGTTCATGCATGTCATCGTATCCAAATTGCGTGGATCAATGCTCATGATGTCATTCACTGAATTGTCTGGTCCAAACTCGATTATTTACAGACCGCCGTCATATGGCTGGAATGTTACTGAATGCAGTGTGAAACAAACATACTAACTTGGACTGACTGGCAGACGTAGTTTACCTTACACTGTATTTTTTTTCATTTAGTGACATTTACCAGATATCGTTGGAAAGTTTTCTTCAGAATGTCCTGCATGCTCAATGACATAGCAGCAAGTGGTAGACATGGTAGAGAAGTTCTATGGAATGTTAAAATGGAAACATATTCCACATACAGTATGCTTTGTTTTGAGTTTTTATCAATGACTCTTGTTTTATAAATATTTTCTTTCCTTGAGCAAGTAAACTGTTAAATCACCTTGTCTGCACCTTGACTTTCGATATTATTAATAGTTGATACATACCAATTAATACCCAGGCACTGGTCACATTTAAAAATCCACCCCAACACTAACACTAGTAACAGTCAGGTCAACTATTTCATTTCATAATTTTAATTGCTTGAGAAATAGAAGTTCACTTAAACCTTTGGTTCATGTAGACTTAAGTAGTGGTGCAGTGTACATGCACATCCACCCAAATTTTACATTTGTGAGTCGATGATGCAGGCTATGGTGTCTCGAATACTCTCAGAAATCTGATTAGATTTCCATCATGGTTCTAATAGAAGCCATATTCAAAAGGTAATTTAGCCCATTACTGACCCTTTTATATACATGTCAAACTCTGCAAATTATGTATGTATAGAATGAGAGTGTGAAAAGTAGTGTTAAAAAAACAATGTCAAGTAAATACATTCATGTACATATGTACATGCATATTCTAGATGTACCCTAGAAAACTTCATTCTGAGATCGGGGTGGTCAGATAGCCTAGTGGTTAAAGCGTTCGCACGTCATGCTGAAGACTGGGGTTTGATTCCCAACATGGGTACAATGTGTGAAGCCCATTTCTGGTTTCCCCCACCATGATATTGCTGGAATATGGCTAAAAGCTGCGTAATACCATACTCACTCATTCTGAGATCCAGTATCAAAATATTTCATATTCTATACAAGTCTCTTTTATTAATGTTTAAACATGCAAAGGATTATTAAACGGGATGAAGAGCAATATTGAAGTTTGATTTGGTACAACATGTACAATATTGTACTTGTACTTAAAATTTATTGTACTGATATTCTCTAATAGCAAAATACGAAGTGTGTGACAAGCGGCGGGTTTTCCAAGTTGTCTGTGATTAACTTCTCTTGTAGGAACATGAAGTGCAGAATGTATCACGTGGTGTGTCTTGTGGTAGTTCAGTTATGCAATTACTAAGCATGATGTAAGACAGTGTGTACAGTCATCAGTACTTGACTCATTACTGTTGTGAGAGCTACTTGCAGCAGGGTAGCAGCTATCTAGGACACTCTGAGCAGAATGATGGAAGAATTGTTATTGATTGAGAAAGCACTTCGACTGGATGTGCCTGCACTTGCTGATGTTGTCTGCATCAGGTTACAGGTTGCATTATCACAGTCAATTCCAGTAATTGATTTGTTTGGTTATTAATGTCTTACTCTTAGTGTACATGTTACTTGGTAGGAGTCCATAGAACACACATACTTTCATGTTGGGAAGGATTTCAGTGGTGCTGTGGTTGGTGACTGTTTCATGTTTGTTTCATGTTTGTCAATCACGTTCATGATAACAATTTATTATGAAATATTGAAATAGCATGTTAGCATTGATATTGTGACTTAAGGAACCAGGTAGACAGTGGTTACTGGATAGTTTTTAGACCATGTTACTCTTTCTATAATATTGATCATGTTGATGTCTGTTTCTTATTTGAATTTAGAATTGTATGATTCTCAGATGCTCTGAAAACATGACTAGGCATCCTTAAGCTATGTTTGTTAGTGGCCCTGAGCATTGTGTGGAGTTGGCACCTTGTCATTTTGTATACAATGTGCAAGGGTCTGTTATCACAGAAGTATTTCATACCTTCTCTACCTTCCTTGTCACTGTCAGTTCACATATGTTAAACTGCACTAAATCAACATCTCGACAACCCCAAAGTAGACAATCCGAGGTGACAGGTTTTCGCAATGTTCCAGGTTGTACACCTATCTTGTGACAGTATAATGCAAGAGTGAGTGCTGCCTTTAGCAATCTTTCAGCAATATTGCGGCAGGGACACCAGAAATCGGCTTCATACATTGTGCCCATGTGGGGAATGGAACCCGGGTCTTCAGCGTAATGAGCAAACCCTTTGACCTCTAGGCTACTCCACCGCCCTGTATAGTGCAAGAGCATGTGGGTATTTCAGTTTCAACCTTATTCATGATTTTTTGGTCGAAATTCCATCAGCCATGTTGACTATATATTCATAAATGGATCCCATTCACTATTCTTACTTCCCTTTGATCAAAGAAGAGCAATATGAAGACATTTAAATTATATGCAGAAATATTGCTTGAAGTTATGTTCACCAAGTGAACTGATGCCCTAATATTATTCACCATCATTGAATTTGATACAGGTACTACTGTTCATATGGTGTCAATGTTTACTAAATACTGGTGACCTTTGACCACTCATAAGGTACTGTGTTATTGAGATACATTTTGTGGATCATGTTACTTCTGCTACTAATTTTTTAGCGTGTGTAGGACAATTATAGTGAGCGAAGTTGTGAAATATGCATGACTTAATTTCAGTGATAACTATGCACAGTTTGGAATACAAATATAGGCCTCCTAACTTGTGACAGCCTGGAGGTTA